GAATTTTCCGATCTAAGCTTGGCTGATAAAGGATGACTGTTTTCATACGAGTGTAGTAATCTCAAGTACCTCGATTGGTTTGTTATCTTTTATCAGAAGCAAGAAATCCTGACATCTCAAATGCATATTTGACCAACTGGTCTTGAAGTGAAATCATCAAGATACCTAAACTTCTTCCCTTCTTTCTTATGACTCATTACGACTCATGATCTAGGGCAAGATCGAATTGAAGTTGTGATTATTTCGAATCAGTTTACTACTGATGTTGTCAGATGATGTTCTTTTTGCTCTCAAGTTGATCATAAAAAGGTGAAAAAAATCGATATACCAGATAACATTGAATTACATATCAGGTTTGGTTACAGAAGGAGACATGGTATTCAGATGGAAGGTGTTTCCAGCTATGATTATCATCGATTGGAAAAGTACTCTGATTGGCATGACTAGGTCTCTTTCATTTCGCCTCGAACTCAAAAGCAAGAGGTCGATGACTCATGATTGCGACTATCGACTTCTCTGGTTGATCTTCAATAGCACGAGCTCACACATGATATTGATGTGACTTTGATGCACGCCTGGTCAGCGCTCACAGTGACGAATCATGGTTGGTGATTGTGAAGGATTGATGACTATGACAAGGGCGTAGCTGGCAACACACTTTCGGTGAATGTTGATGATGATGACTTGCGAGGTTGGAAACTGATATCGAGAACAAAGGGATCATAGATAGTAAGTAGTCCGTGGATATCTTTGCTGCTGGGTTTAGTGGATAGGATATCAAGATCCAAACAATCGAGTGACTTGAATCTTGAGCTGAGGCTGAGCTCACCCTTGTCTTGTTATTTGTACAGAACGACCTTTGACAGCTCATCTTTCTTACCCTTTGTCTTATCACCACTAACTGAGAACTGAATATGCATGGAGTCTAGTTAAGCACTCAACTCACTCTCCGCTGAGATGAGCTGAGGATTTGCCCTCAGCTTATTTCGTTAGAAGATAGCCTGGTGCTTCGTTTTCCATCCTCCCCAGATCTTTTCTCATTCCTTTGCATGCTCACCCCTAATATTAGATTTGTAAGATCCATCAAGAGAGTCTAAGGATCAGTCTGAGTTCAACGGTCGAACACGAAAGTAGC